AGAGAATAGAGAATAGAGAATAGAGAATAGAGAATAGAGAATAGAGAATAGAGAATAGAGAATAGAGAATAGAGAATAGAGAATAGAGAATAGAGCATCGCCGTTTCCATAGAAATAATCCTTTTCTCGCCTGGGCATTTTTTGAGTTCAAGTGATTCCCGTTGGCGCTTTAATCTGGGGAAAATTTTTGACAAATCCAGTTTTTTAGCTTAAAGGGTTCAATCTCATAATATCAATTCTCCCTGGCGTATCTAGTTTTGTTGTATCCTTCCTTCACAGCATTTATTAATTGCGTCATTTTTCGTTAATAATTAAAAATTATTCAGTTTTTCCTTAGTAACCCCCGTAACTAAGAAAAAATCGGAATCACTGCTACAATGCATTTTTTACGAAATGCCCAGGCGGGATATTGATACATTTGATTAAGGAGGCGGTGGAATAGAGAATAGAGAATGGAGAATAGAGAATAGAGAATAAAAAAATAAAAAAATTGAGAACAAGAGAACAGAAGAATTAATTAAGTATAAAAAAAGAATAAAAAAAACAATTATACAGAATGCGCCAGAACTAGCACCCCAAAGAAAGGTAAAATATCAATTAAAAAAATATTTAAAAATTCTATCTAGGTATAAAATTTTCGAAGTTATGAGAGTTTAAATTTTGCACTTTGACAATTTATTTCTGTCGTAAAAATAATTTTCCAAGTTTTTTTGCTACAGGCAAAATGAGCTACATTCTAAATTGTAACTTTTTTAATGTTATTTGTGGCTTTTATTGGCAAAATTTTTATACCTTTACTAAATAATTATAAAAAAGACATACAAGATCATCAGTATCATTAAATAGACATAAAAAATGTCAAATGTCAAAAAATAAATGTCAAAAGTTTTGCACAGAATTTTTTAAACATTTTTTCATGTTTCTAGTATCTTATCTTACTCGCGGGGCGCGAGTTTTGACAAGCCCATATGTATGTATTTGATTAAATATTTTAATCAAAATTTATAAAGTAGTAATTAGTTTGTTGTGTTTTAAAAGAATATTTAAATAAAAATCTAAGAAAATGTTAAATTGTTTTATTAAATTATGCAAACACGTCACTTTAAAATGATTATTTTTTGCTCGATTTTTTGTAAAATAAAGCAAGAAGCAATAGGGTGGACCAAAATAAAAATACCTTGATGGTTATTCGCTTAAGATGCTTAAATTGTATAAATAATGTCTGTTTCAAAATGTTGTCGATGGTCAAGGTAATTTCAGTGTGATCAGCAGTGTTCAGTTGCTAGGGGATACTAGACCATCACCTAGCAACTGATTTTTTTGCTTTTGGTGGCAATTTGGAACAGACGTTATAGACATTTTCAAAAAAGTGCTATTAACAATGGAGAAATAAATTCTATTAAATTGAAAGTTTTGAAAATGAAATAGGTCATAAAATTTTAATAATATTAGCATATGTCAGTGAAAATTTCCAAAAGTTAAATTAATTTACACAAATATTTTCTTTAGACGCCAGTGTAAAAAATAAAATACCGTAATAAAACTCTAGGTAGTTCTAACCAGAAAATCTTGTTGATTTTTACTATTGATTGACTCGTAGTACGGTCGAAAACAATGCTCGATTAATGAGATATTTCGAAACAAATTTTTCTGATAATTTAGTTTACAAAATAATTAGTAGGCCAGCGTTCTAAAAATAGCGTTTTAATGTGAGGCACGCGTATTTTGTGTAAAATGTGCAATTGCATACAGGGTGTCCCCTTGCCCCTCGTCGCGCATTGACAGGTGTTCTCAATAAAGCAGAAATTAATCAAGCACGTGTCAAGTGGAAACAAGAACAGAATTTATCAGCATCACTTTATTACACAATTTCCTTATGCTACAGATGACACAAAATTAAAATTGCTAATATCGCCCTGTATAATTTTACGGTTTTTTCATCTTCCTCCATTAACCATTTATCCATCTCCCAGCCGATCATTATTAAAATTCATAAAGTCGAAATTTACATTGTATGTCAGCCTCGTGTGCGGTGATCTACCCAAAAAAAAAAAAAAAATCGGGCACTTCAACCGAAATTTATTATCATTGTTGTAATTATTCTCTTCTAAAAAAAGCAAATGTAGGACCGGACATAAATAATACATGCTATTTAATCCGAATTTTACCTGAAGACCTGTTCAGGTAAGGATTCACACCGTTAAAAAAGGAAAATATGAAAGATGCCATATGCTACACCGTGAATAAATTGCCCCCAACCCTTCACCGGCCTATTAGGGGGTCATTAGACCTTTTTCGAATTAAAAAAAAGCGTGGGAAACGGCGATCTCCTTTCGTGGGACACACTGTATACGCGAGAATTTTGGCATTTGTCGGGCGCACGGCTACCTCGCTGTCCTTGATATGTCGCACAAAATTTTATATTAATCATGACATACTTTATTTTCAATAAAAAAGTTAAAACAAAAGAGATGCGGGCAACAATAACCAGTTTTTTATAATAAATGAAATGTGCGCTGGACCTGCGATGGATTGGTCGTCGAGAGATGCATTTGCGACCGTTGCGACATCTGGCCGATTGTAATGCACCATTTTTTACAATTTAATAATATGGTATCATGAATATAAAGCGACTGCATTTTAAAAGTTGTTAAATGCAAGGTCCTTTGAAAAATGCCGGTGTATTATCACATTGTGCGGTTTTTTTACTTTGAACGTGGGTGTTCTACTTGTAAAATTCGTTTTTTGGTTAACAAGCCATGAGAAACACGGACTGAGACTAAAACAACAAGAGATAGGAGAAAATAACATAATTTCATCTGGCGAATAGCTAAAATTATGATGGGAACGGAGTTTTACCATTTTTTTTATTCATTCACATACGAAAGGATAGGGTTGGGAAGTGAGCCCTGTGGCGCACGAAAATGCTAAAATTTAATTACAAGACATGAAAAAAAAAAACACAATTAAATACTTTGTTAAAACAGAGCTGAACTAAATTTTTGACAACAGTCTTTCAAAATCGAGTAA